GTTAGCCTCGTCCGTTGTGTTCTCTGGTGTGGTCTCTTCTTTAAATAACTCTGCACTCCCCATGAGTTGTTCATATAGCTACAAAATCCATCCAAGATGATATTGTTTCATTAATATTGCCAAAATCATACAACTTTATTGAGAAATTTGAGAACAGTGTTTAGTAAGGAGCCTTTTACTAACCTTCACGGCTGATTCCACAATCTCATTGTAATTTAAATTTCCATCTGGACTACACGTGGAACTGATACTCCCTCCAAATTCACCCTGATCCAAATCAAACTTTAATTCAGTGAAATGACATTACCACGGTCCAAAAAGTGTAAGTCATGAAGAAAAAATTCACATTCCACACCTTGACCATCTCTTGTACGTACAGAGCTCTCCAGAGTACAACAGGTTTTGATTCAGCAGTATCGTTCTCAACTACTGAATCGCTTTGATGATTCTCAGGAACAGGCGGTTTAACGAGAGTAGTCAGTGCTGATAATAGTGCTGTTTTCCCTTGATCATCGTTGTCACACAAGGTTGAAAGATATAAAACATGCCTGCAGAGGCAAACATATGACTCAGAGGACAATTGAAGAGAAGCAAATGGAAAGAAACAGAAGGAAAGTCGGAAAGATCATCTTTGGCTAAACCACAACTTACATGTCAGCAGGACAAACCGCTAAACCACTACCAAGCTGCAGAACCCGAATCGTCGTTAGCTGTTCAGGAGACAAAGCTAAGAGAAAGAAAAAAATTCATTATGAGTAGAGATTCGATATGCAAATGACAATATACAAGTTAGTAAAACAATTAAGTAGTGAGTTTGTAAAATTTAGCTTACATTTTGGTGGATATAGGATAAGAGCGCTTGATGTATCAGCTTTCACAGAACCTCTAATGATACATATTCCTCTTGCTATTTTCCGCTTACTGCTTATCGCCTTTGGGACAAGAACCCGAAGAGTTTCTTTCTGCTGATCTGTCAATGATGACAGTGACTCCAATCCAACAGTAACACATGGATCCAGAATCAACTTTTGGCTGAATATCTCTTGACCCGAAGCTAGTCTAACCCCTTTGTAATCCCCAGTTTCCTACAGAAAGTTAAGAATCAGTTGTCGAAAGCATACCACTTAAACATATCTTTGGTTACAACAATCAACTCACTTGCCTTGTCTAGAAGCAGAGCAGTAATAGGCATTCGGAGAACCTTTTCAAACATAAAAAGACCAGATAAGTAACAAGTATAACAGCAACACACTAGACAATGCAGCAAAGTGTTCTAAGCGTACATAGATGCATCCTTTGACAGCGGCTCGACGACAAAAGGCTTGTGGAAGTTCTCCTTGTCCATAAATTGGATATATCAACGCCCCAAGTGAGTTCGAAAATCTGAAGTAGATAACAAAAGGATTAAAAGCTAAACTATACCAAGTATAACCAACGAGAATGGCAGAATGTATAAGAGCCAAGAACACACAGAGTTATGAATCACCTGCCAATAGATGTAATGTATAGAGCCAATCGATCAATCCCCTCTTTGGTCTTAAGTAAATCTCTACAAGTTTCTGTTTTGTCTTGATCATAATCTAGCATCGCAATGGCATACAAGATGATCCTACACAGAAGAAGAAGTCTTACCATCAGCATTTCAAAGACATTATCTTGAGAAACAAGAGCTGTGAAGAGGTGATTTAAGGCTATACGATTTGATTTTGGGTGGCAAACGCATCTTTGTCAGGAAATCCACAAATGGAAGCTCCATGTCTTCCTCTGATATCTTCACTGTTGTCTCATCGGTTTCGGTAGCCGAAGCCAAGTGTTGTTGAACAAGCTTGAAGAATTTCATGAGCTGATTCTTTTCAAGCAGAGCCAAACTCTTGTCCTTGAAGATCGCACCTCTCGAATCCGGCACATTCCGTAGCTCACCGCTTGAATCACCGACGAAGCTAGCATCGATGCTCTTGAACTCAACGTAATTGTTGGATCCTGATTTCAACATGAGATTAATGGATTCATCTGCACAGAACATAACCCTAGGACCACACAAGTCAACGTTAAACTTTCTGTAGTGTTCTTCGAGGATCTCCGGTTCGAAGCTCGAAATCTCGACGGAAGAATACAGTGATCGGTTAACGAGATCCACGGAGAGGAAATCATGATCGTTACACTGCGGCGGCGGAGGAGAAACGGAGTTTGAGTGAAGGAAAGAAGTGAGGTCGGGAAGAGAAAGAGAGGCGAAGTGAGAGCCGTAAAAGGGGTTATGGTCGAGGTGGAGAACAGAGCTACTGGAGGAGGAAGCAGAGGCGGCGACGATGGACTCAGAAAGTCCGGTGCCGGCGACGATGAGATCGTAGTTAGAAGGATCAAGAGGCGGGTAGGGAGGGAGATCGGACATGGTGGTGGCTCGAGTCGTGGGGTTGAATAATTGGAAGATGGTGATTTACTTATCGAATACTCTAGTACATCTAGAGTATCTAAATGAAAAACAATTAATGATTTTTTCCTTATCGAAAACTTTCCATCTTTTTTTTCTTTTTGTGTGTGCAGTTACTCATTAAAAATATACTCACTTCACTTGACTAAACTCGTTTCAATTTTCAGATTTATTGAATCGATTCAATTAACATTAGCCATTAAATATTTGAAAATTAACTTGTTACTAAAAATGAAAATTAAGTTATTTATCAAATTTTTATTTGTTATTTGTTCGGTTGGACTTAGGTTAATAAATCTTAAAGCAATTTTTAAAAAAATCATATTTTATCGCAAAAGGTTAAAAATAATGATTTTAATTTAAGAAATAGTTATTTATTTTATTTTTTAGTACCATAAATTTTCTCAAACAAAATCATTCAACCAACAAAATATATACTTTATTTGAACCTCATAATGTCAGCGTTCTTCTATACATTGGGCCAAAAAATCTTGTTTCTCCACCTAATAGTAAGTTTTTAGGTATTGCTGGCAGTGCTTATCAAACAAAAGATAAATGAAATTTTTGGTGCGTTAATTTTTGTAACCGTGGCTATTGGTGATTGTGTTCTTTTCTGGCCGTTTATATAGTAGTTGTTCAACTTAACGACAATATCTTAGTGCATCTGAAAATATAGAATAGTAGTCTGTTGAAGAAATAAAAATTGCTTCTTCCTCTTCTTAGGGTATTTGATGTTTTCTTAATTGATTTCTTGCTTTCTTTGTTGGTGGAGGAGTTAGTAGAGTCATTGTTTTGTGGTTCTCTCGCTTCGTGTCATAGTAGCATTAGTGAGAGGAACTCAACTCTTTGGCTTGTTGTGGTTTCATACAAGATGTTTTTCTCAGGTTGTTAGATTGGTTGTGGTGGACTTTATCTACTGATGATTCATCTTTGTTTTGAGCTGCCAGGGAAGGGGCTTCCATAAAACAGTTTTGGGGTTTTGGCGATCTCTGATTCTTTCCTACATTGTGTTACTCTTGTATTCATTTCCTCCAAGGATTTTGGTTACTAATTTCTCGCCGTAACCATGAGATTACGGTAATTATTGCACTGTTTTCGGTTTGCTTTCATGTTTTAATTCGTTAATGCATGAGACCAAGTTATAAGGTCATGCAATGTATGATCTCAAACGCTTTTTTGAATACTATTTACATTTTAT